TTATAAAAACAAAAATCAGTTTTAAAAGAGCTTTACCAAAATGGATTTGATCCATATATACTAAGGAAAGAGAATATGGAAACTCAGTTTGGACATTTGGTGAAGAAGGATGTAAGTACTAATTCTCAAGTTACAAATAAAAATATCATTAAGAAGAAATTTAGCTTCAGAAGATAAGGGATCATAGTAATCAATCCTAACACTTCAAGCCATTAAATATCCTCTTGTCAGAGTTTAAAAGAAATTTCTTCTTGGTGCAGAGATTGCTATAATCAGATGAACAGGTTTCCAGCTAACGCTGGGGCCCCGTGAAATGACAAATCAGCTATGAGTGCTACAACTGGGCCACGCTATCTCTACGTACATCACTTAGCTAACACTGACAGCCGAAACTCGACAAAGGGTCAAACTGCAGAACTAAGGGCTAGGGAGTCAAGATACAGCCAAGTTTATTAAAAATACAGAGTGGTGGGGATTCATTACATAAAGCCATTCTTTACAGTTTCATTGTGAGATATGCAGGGCCTATTTGTATACCTACAAGCCAGTCAAAACTAGCCGACCAATTTGTTCACTGTTTCACATAGCAACACGTTTGAGCACCTCTCAGGGGCTAGGGAGTTTGTGAGTCTTCTGGACTGACAGCAACTGGCTGCCCTCTCTGAACTGTGCTGCCCTCACACTTTGGATTCTTCTAACCATTCGGTGGTTAAACGTCACCAATGGCACCAGCTGGGTGCACAGAAATGCCATTTAAAGTGAAAACACAAGCTCACTCAAGCAATGGAGCAAGGTCCTTAGAGAATCTATCGGACAAAACTAATGATTTCTTCACGTGCTTGCCAAGGTACCCAGGTGTTTCCACTACACGCACATGGGAAAACAGTGAACTGAGGGTTAACAGTAGCACAGAAACATGCAACTCTACACTTTTCTCAAGGATTCACAAGAGAATAACAAAAGGCTGAGAAGGAAGAGACAGACAAGGTTCTTCTTTCATATTCAGAAAGATTACAGGAGACGTTTTTCTCATTTGTCTGGGTCAGAAGAACTTCCATGCTTTCCTCTAAAAGGTTATTCCTCTGTAGCAGCTCTCACTGCCAGAACATTTTTCTTCATTTTCACCTAAACCTTATGACCTAGTACACCTTTAAAAAGTCAAAGAGAAAGGCTGTAGGGAAAGCTCTGTTTGAGAACAGAGTGTACCGCACATGACCCGTGTCTTCTATGAGTCTTCATTCTGGGTACAGCAGCATTTCTGGTCTTAATCTTTGGACTCAAACACGAGCTTCCTATCTGTGGCATCTTTCCTCTCCCTCAAGATATGCAGAGCTTCAGACATTATTAAAGAAAACTCAGGGCCTGGAATATGTAATCCTCTGCTATCTGGCACTCTATATTTGGTAGGGTTTATATACTGTTAAATTTGAGACACATGTTTACATGAGGAGAACGACAGATGCTGGGAAATGATCCTGTTTAAAAACACATCAGAAACCAACTTCCATACCCCATAGTTTAGATGCCATGAACAGTTTATCAAGCAGCAGAGAGGGGTATGTAGGAATTGGGAGAGTCTTTAATCTCCTGCACTTTATGAAAGGCCATACCTCAAGTCTGAACAATATGCAGAACATGAACAACCCTGAAGGCAAGGGAGCCACTGAAGACATGGTGTCCTACAGATATGCTGTCAGAACTGAAAGCCAGTCCTGCATGGGAACTGTGTAGGAGTATTCTGGAAGATGAGGTGGGTGGGTTTTCTTCCCAGAGCTATAAATAAGATTGGAATGAGAAGAATTTGATAAAAGGGATATAAACACAGAAATGATGAGGCAGAATACAGCCATGACTACATCACTCCTCTCCCCCAGTTCCAGGGCCTCCCTACTTCCTCAGTTGTACAATAAACTTACATATAAATGCACTTTAGAGAAACTCCTCAGGCCAGCAAGATGGGAATGGAAGCAGACCCTTCAAACCAGATGTTACTTTTTCAGGCCTCCAAATCTCCAACAATCAACAACTACTTGCTGGTCACTTAGAAGCTGCTTCCAACACTGCTCGATTTTCTTTGGAAGCTGTGGCATAGAGGGTGAGAGGTGGGGCTGGTGGAGAATGGCAGGTGGTGGGGATGTCAGGGGGGCTTAGGGTGTTGGAGACTACAACAGGATAAGGGTAGAGAGTGCAGGGCTGTGATGAGGAAGAATTTACTCACAGGGTGCAGGGTTGGCAAAAAAAAAAAAAGAACCTCAGGACCCTATCTCCGCGTATCACCTGGTATGTAGGTGAACAGGGAATTTCACACCTGAAACTATTGGCAGGCATCAACATTCTCTCTCAGAATCTAAGAGATTGCTACTTACTTCCTTCACACTAGAAAAGCTGAGAACCAAGACTGTATCCATAGCTGAAGGTGGCTCTTGGTAGGAGGAAGATGCAGTTTTTTCACAGAAGCAAATAATTTCTATTCCTACAGGAAGGGCAATTATTCTCACTTCACAGATACAGAGAACAGTGCAGAATATACAATTAGGTATTCAGAACATTTTAGAACCTGGGCTCCTGACAGAACAGAAGCGTTGTTCCAAATTCAATGTCCAGAATTCCAACAAGTTTACAAGAGAGTTGTATCTGTCCCTGTCTGTCTGTCATTCACATACACACACATACATCACACTTTACAAGTGGCTGTCTCGATTCATTCATTCAGTGCCTGGCACTGGGTAAGATACTTTCTCAAGGAGCTCACAGTATGGCTGGAGGGAAATGTATAAGCAGATAACTCCAATAATGGAAGCATCATCTGCCTTTTAACAACACAGAACATGACAAGAAATGCTGAGCAGGGAGGCTGTACTCGATCAATCGTATTAAGCAGTGAACTCTAGTAACCACTGGTACCAAGTACAAGACAGGCACAGGAATGCAGAGCCCTCATCCTCTCTGCAAGGCTTTTAGACCCTGAACATCTCACGGATCTTGAGAAACAGTGTTATGCTCTCAGAACTAGTACTGTAATTAGTCAGCACCCCCACAGGATGCTGAATTGTTCCTTATTTTATATATGGGTAAATTTTAGCTACTCAAATTGTTAAATGTCTGAGGGCAGGTACCTTGCCTGATATTTCTTGTGTGTTTTTTTGCCTGGTATTTCTTTAATCTCTCCAGGACTAACTACCCTGGACACAGCGTAGACATAAACACATGATGTCCTTGGTGAAAGGGACAAGGAGATGAGACTCTGGGTGACTCGTTCCTCCACAAGGGTTTACAGAGAGGCAGATCTGGAGTGATCTGTAAAGCACAATAGTGCCCTTCCTGATCAGATCACTGATCCACCACACAAGCAGCCTGCTCTGTCTGACTCTTTAGGGTTGGGGGTGGGAAGTCCTTCACTGGAAAGCCAGAGAAGATAGCAGCATAATGTGGGTAAATGGTTTGGAAGTTAATGGCAGTAAATAAAAAGCTGAATTTGAGACTTAAGTTCCTGGCTGATGCTTAGGATAGAAACAGACCTCAGATTTCTTCCACCTTCTATACAGTTCTAGTTCTTAGAAATGGACCTGCCATCACCACGACATGAATCAAATCCCATCCTCACTTGCTTATTAAAAGGCCTCAATGGCTTCCCATTGTACCTAAAATAAAATCCACCTCTTCCGAGTAGTTGATAGGCCCTCATTCTCGCTCCGCCCACCCTGCCAATCTTAACTTGTCCCGGGGCTCCCCTCACTCACTAGGCCCCAGCCACACCTGCTTCCTTGATGTTTTCAAACACGTCAGGTTCTTGCCTGCACTAGGCCCTTACACTTGTTCTCGCTTCTCCCTGGCCCTTTGCCTGCTTCTGCATGGCTGACTCCAATTCATCCTTCAGACCTCAGCTCAAATATTTCCTCCTCAGGGAGGCCTTTCCTGATCATCTTATCCAAAGTGACCCCATCTCATTCCTATTACTTGTTAACACACCAACTGATTAATTTACTTTGTAACACTTACTATGCTCTGAAATTACCTTATTTGTTTCCTTGTTTACTATCACTATTCTCCTTTTAAACCTAAAACTCCTGAGAGCAGGAGCTGGATTTTTCTTGCCGCATCAAGGACACACACCAGTTCTCAAATAAACTGAATGAAGAAGTGAATTAGGATTAGGAAAACGCCGTGGCAGTAGGTCAGCACTGAGTTAAGGTGAAAAACACTAATTCTCTCACTATGAAGCTAGAAGTTGTTGTAGGACCTTTTTTTTTAACTTCATAGGGTTGTCCAAGTAGTAATAACACACAAGAGAAAAGAAAGAAGAGGGAGAGCCTAAGCTCTGTACTGATGACCTTAAAAAGAATGTCAAAAAGAGCAAAATCTTGCTGGCTCCAGCTTCCACTCAGTTTGTAATGCTGTTGGTACTGAAAGCAAATTTTTTTACTTCTAACAGATTCCAATATTGGTTTCATTTCTCCCCAAGTAATATAGTTGTGCACCTTCTAAGCCCAGCTCTGCAATAATCCCATCAAGCACACTCACACCCATGCCAGCCACAGGGTATCTGAGAATCTCACTCTAAATAAAACTGTAGTTGATTCAAAATACCAGGTGAAAAAGGATTTTTTTCTCTTCCCAAGAACCTGAACATGAGGCAAAACACATGCAAGAAGTAGTTCTTCCTCACAATACCCCAGCTCAAGATTTGCTCCTCCTATAAAGGGAAGTGAGTGTTAACAGGGAGCAGAAACCCCTGAAAGGTACAATTCAAAAGCGAAGGATGGTTCGATGGCACCATTCAATCCAATGCTGTTTGTTTCACTGAACTTAATAAGGGCAGTATCTTAGCTATTAGTGATTGAAAGTCCTTGAACTTGGAAAAGCACAAGAAAGAGAGTGACAAATGAAACCTGTTGCCCTTGTTTGCTGTTAGGTGCTTCCCATGGCACACCAGGCACACACACTATGTTGAAAACGCAGCTCTATTAAATGCTGAGAGAGAGAGAGACAGAGGCACTTACGCGGCATGATCCCCTGGCTCACCAGCTCTTCTCGAGTCCGGCGCTGCTGGAGCTTCAACTGCAGCACTGCAGGGCGGCAAAGAGAGAGAAGAGACCGAGGCTCAGTTGGGCATTCCACCACAAAAGACACATTTTCAAATACAAAGAAAGTCTCAGAACAGAAGGGTGTAGTGTGAAAGAAGGATCCCTTTAATTGTGACTGTCTGTAATTGCAGAAGTGGCCTGATACAGCAGGGTTTCCGTATTCTGCTGTGGGCGGCGAGAGGAAGTTGCGAAGGGTCTTGCAGGGCGATAACAATCCACAAAGTACCAAAGTCTTGCCTCTTGCTCAAAACCTCCTACAACACTGTATCCTCCTCCTAAGACTAAAAAAACACAAGTTCTTAACTCAAAGGAAATATAATGAGGACCAACACCCAGCAGGAAAAGCTTTCTAGATGTTCTACACTGTCTTCCTGGCAGCATGTGTTTACCATCGTGAGTGCAGTGAATGATACCGTGCTCACATAGATCAGGAAGTATTGGTTATTTGTAAAATCTTGTCTTTTGTATCTAAAAATTACACCTATTTTCACCAAACAATGCATTTCTCTAGACCAGAAAACATTTACCATCAATATAACTCTTGTCTTCCTCTTATTGTTCACTTAGAGCTTTTTTCTGTTGAGGTGAAACAACCAAGCGACACGAGTCAAAGCGCACCCAGGATAGGGGAGGGTGACTCTGGCAACACCACCTAATGAAACACTCAATAGGAATTTTTCTAAAGTTAAAAGTCAATGATCTCTATTTCAAATGCCAATGAAATGTAAAGGGCATTACCATTGCATACATGCAGAACGACCATGGCACGGCCTGCATTCAGAGGGTGAGAAAAAGTTCAGAGAAGGAGGGTTAGGAGCCAAGGAAAGTCCCCTTATGTGATAAGTCTTCAATTATAAGGTCTCTGCAAGTCACATTTGAGGGAGACCTGCACCTACTAGGAATCATATTATCTTAGGGTCACCTGCGTTTTCCACTCAGAGAGCAGTTTTTAAGAAGGCCTCCAAGAATGGCAGAACCATAACGAGGCTCCTGACTACATCTCAAATTCAGCAGGTCCAAAGTAGAACCTGTCTTTCTCCCAAAAACCTAACCCACTTTCCATCCTTCTTATCTCTTTAGAAAATGGAATCATGATCTGCAATCCCTGCACTCCCCCACCCCCAAACTAGTACTAAAGTTTTTGAGCCAACTTCAACTCTTCCACCTCCCTCCCGCTCCTCCTCTTAACAAGTATCTGGCACCACAGTTTTGCCATGTTGCTCAGACAGCTCCCTGGCTCATGACCTTACTTGTGGAGTACTTCTCCCACTGTAAATGCCCCAAGCAAGGCTGTCCAACTACTCTTCCTCAAGTACCATGTACTGGCCCAACTGTTTATTCACTTCACTTGGAAATGCCTATCCTGACCTTCCTGACCCCCAAGCATGCAGAATTACTCTAGACCTCCTGTGAGCTACCTTTTATCTGTTATAAAAAGTATAGTAGTATTTTGCCCTATGCGACAGTTATCCCCTGAATATAGCTCATCTCTCCTACCAGTTTATAAACTCCCGAAGGGCAGAGAATATATCTTATTAATATATGCCCTACATACCACTCAATACACAGTAAGCATTTAATAATTGTTTCTTGAATTGAACTGTATCTCAAAATGATAATACAGTCTGAGAGATCTTATGAGGAAGTTATAACTATTACTATTTTTTTTTTTTTTTTACAAATTAACACTTAAAAGCAAAAACTTGCAGAATAAATGGATAAAACAATAGCCACACTAGTGGTAACATTTATAGAAGATGTGCTCGATGCCAGACACCGTTCTATGTACTCTCATGTTTTAACTAAGTTACTCAGATATATCTAACACCCCTATGGAAAGACATGGGGCATTACTAATCCCATTTTACAGGTAGAAAATAAGGCCCAGAGTGATTCAGTAATTTGCCTAAGATTATCCCACTAATAAGACGTGCAACAGAATTTGAACCCAAACATTCTGATCCCAGAACGTGGGTTCCTTACGTCTCTACTGCTTCAGGGTCTTCTGGAGCCTATGCTGCTGAGACGAGAGGTATGGAATGTGACCACCTCGGCTGGTTCTCTGGTGAGACAGGCAAAGGGACTGAAGAAAAGGGATGTGGCTCAGGCTAGGGTCAAAGGAGTTTGAGTGATACTTCAGTAAAAATAAATTTAAACTAATCTAGGAATTTGATTTCAGATAAATTAGAACCACAGATTAGCAGTAACACTAATAATAACAATAAAATGCAAATAGTTAACTAGGAGTCACTGAGTGTCACTGTGTCAGGCCCAGTGTTAAGTGACTGACCTACTTTTAACTTAAAAAAAGGGGGCCCTATCAGAATGGTATAATCTCCATTTTACACATAAGGAAGCTTAGGATCAGACCTTTAAAACTTTGCCTTAGGTCACACAGCTCAAAAGTGCTGGCATGAGAATTCATACCCAGGTCTTTGTGATTCTAGAGTGTGGGGCACTTAATACTATGCCATACATCTCCTTGGAGGAAAGAAAGAAAGATGGGAAAAAAAGGAAAATATTTGTCATCTTTTACATATAGTGGGTTTTTTTTTTTAAAGATTTTATTTATTTATTTGACAGAGAGAGAGAGAGAGCACAAGCGGAGGGAGCCACAGGCAGAAGGAGAGGGAGAAGCAGGCTCCCCGCCGAGCAGAGAGCCCGACGTGGGGCTCAATCCCAGGACCTGGGCCCAAGGCAGTTGCTTAACCGACTGAGCCACCCAGGCGCCCTTATATATAGTGTTTCTAAAGCCCAGTATAAGCTATTAGAAAATGATTAAATATAAGAAATTGATTTAATTTCTGAGAACAGAGAAATCTAAATACAATTCAGTATGTCTGAACACTTCAAAGAAATAATAACTGATGAAAACTCTGGCCATTATCCAAAAATAATTTTGAAATACCAATCAGCAGCCCTCCTAAATAACCCATCTACAGATAGGGCCATAAAGGATATTATGTAAACTTCTTTTTTTTTTTTTTTTTTTTTAAAGATTTTATTTATTTATTTGAGAGAGAGAGAATGAGAGACAGAGAGCACGAGAGGGAAGAGGGTCAGAGGGAGAAGCAGACTCCCTGCCGAGCAGGGAGCCCGATGCGGGACTCGATCCCGGGACTCCAGGATCATGACCTGAGCCGAAGGCAGTCGCTTAACCAACTGAGCCACCCAGGCGCCCTTATGTAAACTTCTTGACTGAAAAACTTATTGCCCCATGAGAATCAACATTTAAGTCTATGATTCAAGTTTTTTTTTATGGAGAACACAGTAAAGGTTGATTTAGCTTTTGTTTTTCAACAGGTCTAGCTCAAAGAGGAAAGTTTATCTAACAAATCTTTCCATCTGTAAAACTAAATGAAATTAAAGTTCAGTTATATGAAAATTCCATCCTGTCCCCTCTCAGCAGTGAACTCCAAACTCCGTGCTTATCTTAAATCTGACCAAGTTCCCCATTCACATAATAGAATTCACCCTTTATCAGTAGTATCTTGGGTACTGCCACAACCTGACTGCAGGCATGTACTTTCATACACTGCAAACTCTCTCCTGCTAACTCGAACAATGTTTATTAGGAGGACAAGAAAAAAGACCTAGGCAGTAAACTCCAAATTATAGTTGTCAGCCTCTGTATCATTTTACTTTAGAATTGATCTGTTTGGCTGTGTACAGATGCAAGGATCCCTCTTCTAAAACTTTCAACTACAAAGAAATAGACATTTATATGAATTTCCCCTTTCCTTAGTCTATCTTAATTCCTCTTAATTCTAAGCACTCTAAATAAAATGCCTTTATGTCTCCAAACTTCAGGGATTATTCATTTTATTTTTTTAAATTCAATTAGCCAACATATAGTACATATAGTACATCATTAGTTTCAGATGTAGTGTTCAGTAATTTATCAGTTGAGGGATTATTCATTTTAGAAGAAACCATTTAATAACTCACTTTCAGTACAAAGCTTAAGAGCCATATGTGCTATGTTCACTAAAGAAGGTACCCAAATCAGGAGTACATTTCAAGGCCATACATTTAATGCACATCCACCCTCACCAAGAAGTGCCTGACACTAGTTCAAATGGTTATACTCCTAGACGGTGCTAGACCAAGGAGATTCAAAAGAGTAGGAATTCGACAAAATCTCTCTATTCGTTATACATCACCATTTAGATTTCCTCTCCACTCCCCAAGTGGGAAAAAAAAAACAAACAAAAATACCTATTTGTGTACATGCACAAGTCTTTATACTTTGACTGTTATTGAATTCCACAAATTTAATATAGCATCTGTTTCTAAATGGGTCTGTGCAAGCAGCCTATATATAGATAAACAGATGTCTTTAAAGCTGATGGATGGTGAATCAACTGAATTGCCTGCCAGAAAAAGGATTGGAATAAGAAGAAACCAAACCATAAAGTGGGGAACCCTAGGTTCTCCACTCCCCACAGACTTAATCAAGTTTCTACCTGTTTCAAACAAAGGTGATCAATCAATTGCTGTTTGAATAACTGGCTTCTTGGGAAATCAAAGTAAAGGAGTAAACTTCATATATTTCTGCCCTATAAAGACCATGGGCGTATACTGATGGCATTCAAGAGGTAATGCTGAAGAAATGGACACATCAAACAGATCAATCAGGATTGGAAGGAAAAGCCAAAAATAAGTGGTGTGTCCTCAAACCCAGCTCTGTGGCTTCCACTGGTTTTCACTGGGGAGGGAGATGTGCAGCTTGGCATGTTATTCTCACCTTATTCATATTTATCCATTACTGATTCCACAAAGGCTTCTAGAATAGGGAGATGAAGTATTTATGAGAGAAGTAGAAAAGAATAGGAAGGAGATTAGTATGGGAATGATAGCAAAAGAACAAAAACCCTCCCTTGGCATCATCCTTTGCTCAATAAGACCTCTTCAAGGAAGATTCTAACGGCAAGGGCATTTCCAAAGCCTGATCTCCTAGTAACTCATCCATTGTTTTCTCC